ACAACTCGGAGGTCCGCGCGGATTTCTCGGATCGGCGCTGGGGCCCCCCTCCCTGGCGCGCGGAGCGCGCCAGGGGCGGCGCCGGAGGCGCCGCAGGGGGGCCCCAGCGCCGATCCGAGGAATCCGCGCGGACCTCCGAGTTTTTATGTTTATGTCACTTTTTGTTCCCCTAAAGAGGGGGGTGATGACTAGGGGGGGAGGTTGAATTCCATGGCGCCTTGGAAGCCTGCCACGCCTGCCACGCCTTGGAATGCCACGCCTGCCACGCCTTGGAAGCCTGCAGCGCATACGGCCCCCACCCTCAGCGCACCCCCCTGTGGCGTCGAGGAAATGCCACGCCTTCCACGCCTCTGGGGCCCCCACCCCCAGCGCATCCCCTGTGGCTGTGCCGAGAAAGTGCCACCCCTGCCGCGCTTTCCGGCCCTGGCACGCATAGGGACCGCGCTGAGGGACCACCCCGTGCGCACCCTCTCTGGTGTTGAGACAGTGCCACCCATGCCACGCTCTCCGACCCTGGCACGCATAGAGACCGCGCTCAGGGACCACCCTTGCGCACCCTCCCTGGTGTCGAGAAGGTACCACACCTGCCACGCTTTCCGACCCTTTCACGCATAGAGACCGCGCTGAGGGACCACCCCCTCTGCACCGTCTCTGGTGTCGAGAAAGTGCCCCCTGTGCTGCTGTGCTGTGCTGTGCTGTGCCGTGCTGTGCTGAGCTGTGCTGTGCTGTGCTGTGCTGAACTGAGCTGAGCTGTGCTGTGCTGAGCTGTGCTGTGCTGAGCTGTGTTGTGCTGTGCTGTGCTCAGCGTCGGGCTGCAGATCGCGCAGAAACGCTTGTGCTGTGCTGTGCTGTGCTGTGCTGAGCTGAGCTGAGCTGTGCTAAGCTGTGCTGTGCTGAGCTGAGCTGAACAGTGCTGTCAGGAGGACGGGAAGAGGGATGTGAGTGGGTGAGCGCGGGTGAGACGCGGCAGAGAATTACGCGACCGAGGAACCCCACATACCTATATTATTGCCTGCTTGTACCATCGGTACCAATTTTCTTACCAAAACAACAACAACAACAACTACTACTACTACTACTACTACTACGGCGACGACGACGACTACTACTACTATTACTACTACTACTACTACTACTACTACTACGACTACTACTACTACTACTACTACTACTACTACTACTACTAGTACGACTACTAGTACTACTACTACTACTACTACTACTACTACTACTACTACTACTGCTACTACTACTACTACGACTACTACGACTACTACTACTACTACTACTACTACTACTACTAGGACTACTACCTCTACTACTACTACTACTACTACTACTACTACTACCACTACAACTACTGCTGCTGCTGCACAGAAGTACGCGACCGAGGAACCCCCCATACCTATGTTATCGCCTGCTTGTACCATCGGCACCAATATCCTTAACAAAACAACAACAACAACTACTACTACTACTACTACTATTACTACTAATAGTACTAGTACTAGTGTTACAAAAACAACTACTACTACTACTTCTGCTACAGCTACTACTAGTACTACTACTGCTACTGCTACTACTACTACGACTACTTCTATTACTATTTCTACTACTACGACGACGACAACGACTACTACTAGTACTACTCCTACTACTCCTACTACTCCTACTACTCCTACTACTTCCACTACTACCATTACTACTACTACTACTACTACTACTACTACTACTATTACTATTACTACTACTACTACTACTACTACTACGACTACTACTACTACTAGTACTACTACTACTACTACTACTACTACTACTACTACTACTACTACTACTGCTACTACTACTACTGCTGCTGCTGCTGCTACTACTTGTTCTACTACTACTACTCCTACTCCTACTACGACTACTACGACTACTACGACTACGACGACTACTACGACTACTACTACTACTACTACTACTACTACTACTACTACTACTACTATTACTGCTACTACTACTACTATTTCTATCACTACTAGGACTACTACTACTACTACTGCTACTACTACTACTACTACTACTACTGCTACTACTACTGCTACTGCTACTGCTACTACTACTAATACTACTACTACTACTACTACTACTACTGCTGCTACTGCTTCTACTGCTTCTACTGCTGCTGATGCTGCTGCTATTATTTCTACTACTACTATTACTACTACTAGTACTGCTGCTGCTGCTACTACCACGTACTACCTACTACTTTTCTACTACCACTACTATCTACTACTACGCAACTACTACTAACTACTACTACGACTACTACTACTACTACTACTACTACTACTACTACTACGACGACGACGACGACGACGACGACGACGACGACGACGACGACGACGACTACTACTAACTCTACTACTACACTACTACTACTACTACTACTACTACTACTACTACTACTACTATTTTTTACTACTAGTTCTACTACTACTGCTGCTACTACTACTACTACTACTACTACTAGTTCTACTACTACTACTACTACTACTACTACTACTACTACTACTACTACGACTACTACGACGACGACGACTACTACTACTACTACTACTACTACTACTACTTCTCCCGCTGCTGCTGCTGCGGCGGCAGCTGCGGCTGCGGCTGCAGTTGCGGCTGCTGCTGCTGCTGCTGCTGCTGCCCCCAGCGCACCTCCTGTGGCGTCGAGGAATTGCCACTCCGGCCACGCCCTGGAGCCTGCAGCGCATAGGGCCCCCACCCCCAGCGCACCCTTTGTGGCGTCGAGGGAGTGCCACGCTTGCCACTCCCTGGGAGCCTGCAGCGCATAGGGTCCCCACCCCCAGCGCACCCCCTGTGGCGTCGAGGGAATGCCACGACAGCCACGCCCTGGGAGCCTGCAGCGCACAGGGTCCCCACCCCCAGCGCACCCCCCCGACGAGTCGAGTGCATGCCACGACGGCACGCCCTGGGAGCCTGCATCGAATAGGGAAAACAGGTCCCACCCCCAGCGCACCCCCTTTGGCTCGGATGAAATGCACTGCACGCATTTGCAGGCCCCCACCCCCCAGCGCGCACCCCTTGTAGCTCGAGGGAATGCCACGCCTGGCCAACGCCATGGATGCTGCTGCGCATATGCCCAGCGCAGCCCCCTGTGGCGTCTAGTGAAATGCCACCGCTGCCACGCCCTGTGAGCCTGCATCGCATAGGCCCCCCACCCCAAGCAGCATCCCCTTGACGTCCCCGCCCCCCCCGAGGGGATGCCAAGCTGTCACGCCCTGGAGATCCTGCAGCGAAGTTGGAGCACCACCGTCACGCGCACCCCCAGCGCACCCCCTTGTGGCGTCGAGAAAGTGCCACGCTTGCTACGCTTTGCGAGGCCGAAACGGATAGCGACCGCACCCGCAGCGCACCCCCTTGTGGCGTCGAGGAAAATGCCAACTCACAACGCATTAGGCCCCCCACCCCCCAGCGCACCCCTTGTGGCTTCGGGGAAAGCCACGCCTGCCACGCCATGGGAGACTGCAGCGGACATGGGCCCCCCACCCCCACGACACCCCCTGTGGCGTCGGGAATTGCACGCATGCCACGCCCTGGGATCCTGCAGTCGCATAGGAACCCCCCACCGACTACGGGCAATGCTGCGTGATCAGGTATGTGTTTTGTTTGTGTCTTGTTGTATGTGTGCGGTGTGGTATATGTTTCTGTTACTGTTTGTGCTGTCACAATACCACTGTGTGCGGCCGCGGTGAGGACCACCCCTGCGCACCTTAGGCTGCGCTGTGCTGTGCGGTGCTGAGCTGGCTGAGCTTTCTGCTGTCTGTGGTGCTGTGCTGTGCTGCCTGTGCTGTGCTAATGACTGAGCCTGTGCTGGCCTGTGCTGTGCTGTGTTGAGCTTAGCCGAGCTGTGCTGAGCAGTGCTGTGAGGAGGAGGGGAAGAGTGAGGTGTGAGGGTGAGTGTCGCGGGTGCGGCGCGGCAGAGAAGAAAACCCAAACCCCACGAAGCATGTGGGGAAGAAAACCAGAAACCCACGAAGCATGTGGGGAATTGGGCATCCGAGATGCATGCGGACGGTCCCACTGGGGGTTTCGGTGGAACTCGTTACGGGGTCACGAAACGCCGTAGTGGGTAGTGTGAGAATACCAAAATTGTGTTTCAGGGGCGCATGCGGACAGTCCCGGCTGGGGGCTTCGGTGGGGCTCTCTCTGGGGCCACGAAACGCCGTACTGGGTGGGGTGAAAATGCCAAATTAGATGTCAGGGACGCAGGCGGACAATCAACGATGCAGTACCTCTCCACGACGAGGTTGATGGGACGGCCCCCGCCGCAACGGAGGACTGCGAAAGCGTCGTGGACGTGACTATGAACGAGGGCCAGCACGACACGTCCAAGGTGGCCGGCATCGTCGGCTCCGAGATGATAGTGCTGGACCAGTCGATCATCACATCGACAACTCAGATACTGATTATTCTTCAGACCCGCTCTGAGCGGGAGGACGTGGGGGGATGTACGCACAACGACGTCGGGGGAACGATCATGTTGCAGTACTGACCCAACAGGCTCTCCTGGAAGAGCGACGGCGGGACTTGACGGGTCAAGTTCGTGGGAACAGTCACACATCCAAGGGGAGAGCCAAGCAGCGGACATCATACTGTTTCACTGAGAAGACCAACAGGCGCAGGGATCCTAGACTGTTGGTGCGGATCAAACGTCTCATTCGACAGGCGGATGAGCAAGACCAACCTCCGACCCACAAGGAGGTGGTCGCGACGCTCACACACTTGCTTGAGGACACCCTGGGCAACAAGAATACCGTCAAAAGTGCTGCGACGAAGAATGCGGGGAAAAGTACATCGACGTCGCCTAATACTACGTACAAGCTGTTCCAGCACCTGTGGGGATCCTCAGCGGTGTGGCAGGCAGCCCACATCAAGGACAAGGAGTATGATCCACAGGCGCCGCCTGTGATCGCATGCGGGGGATGATTCAGCACGACCAGGTCGTGGATTGGCTGAAGGCGAGAGGCCTCACCAACCCGACCGCAACGTATGTGCTCTTCGACGAAGCTACCAAGTACGAGGGCTGGGACCACATCGATGTCACCGTCGAAGCCAAGGGGGGAGGGGGCACACTGGTCCCAGCACAGATTCCACGCACGGGCCAGAAGGCCCCACAGAAGGCGGGCCTTCCCAAGGGGGTGAAGGACGATGTTGAGATCCCCATCTCCACGGACAAGCCTGTCGCGGTGCGGATCACTGTTGCTCGTGATTATGTGCCTGACTGGTTATATCCGGAGGCAGAAGAGAATCCAATTGCGCTGTCCGCACTCATCATGAGTGCGAGTCTTATCAAGTATATTATCAAAACGAAGGGAGCCATGGCCTATGAGACGGGGGCCACGGCGATTTTGATTGTGCAGGCGTCCCACATCGAGGACATCATGAAGTACCCATTTCCAGACGGAGTTTTCCTCAACAGACAGGGGACGTCACTGGTCCCCTCATGGCACAGGCTCAGGGGCGACGAGCAGGCCACGGACTACTTCAAGTGAGTCCAGGCAGCCGCCCAGGCGGCATCTGGGCGACTCGTGTACCGCCCTTCGGAGAACAGCTCGCTTGGTGTCATCTCAGCCAATTTTGTAAGTGCTGCTGATATTCAACCAAGATGGCTCCTCCAACGAACACCCACATCGTGGTCCCAGGAGGATGAAGTCAAATCGTGGGCCTTGGACCGTGGATGCAAAAATGTCAATAGTATCGCGCGTTGTGGCGCGAGGCGCTTGTTTATTCGCGCTGATCTGGACCAACTGGAAAGCGGCAGAGTTCTTGAGTTCAAGTCAGGGGTGATGGCAAGCTTGGCGGCTCCGCGCAGAGGGAGCTCCAGACGACCACCGACGAAGTCACCAAAGACGGCGTGGGGCACTCCGAGCCCGACTCGACACCACCCAGGAGCTCCCTCAGCTGCAGCCTCACCACGGCGGATGCGATGGGTGCCACGGTGCAGCCGCGCAGAACGCGGCGTGTTGGCGAAAGAGATCAAGGGCCGAAGCAGACGCCACAAAGCACCAATGGGGAAGCGTACTTCAGCAGAAGAAGAAGCGTGGAGGCAAAGGTGGTTGTTTCTATGTCTCGGCCGGCTTCTATTTTAATTCTCTCCAGCCAGCTGGAGGCAAATCAGGTAAGAAACTCCCGACAGAGGCCGACCTAGGCCCAGGAGGGGGGATCCAAGCAGCATTGCGAGCAAAAGTTGCAGCGGAGATGCTCAAGCAGAAGTTGCCCCAGAAGGATGCTGGCGACCAGGCCAAAGCGGGAACGTATGCGACATCATCTGCCATCAAAGCTGCGGCGACAGCGGTGCCATGTGATTTCCTGATCTGGAAGAAGCAGGGTACTGGGTGGACGTTGTTTTCGGCACCTGCCGCGATCAAGACGAAACACAAATGTTGGATGACCTCGGTGGGCAAGCATATCCGGCGATTGGTGGGGGCAGCTCCTGTACCCGCAGACGTCGAAGCCGAATGGAAGAAGAACGCCAGGCCATATCCCCATCACTTTTCTTGGGGAAGGGGGGGCCACGATTGCCAAGAAAAAGGCTGGACAAGGTCAGGGTCGCCCAGGCGACGCAGACCATCCAACGCCAGCCTCCAGGGAGACACAGTCATCGAGCTCTCTGTCCTCGGCAGCGGCCATGGCGATATATGAGGCCCCGACGCCTTCGGGGAAATCGATTTCGACACGACGAGATCAGAGTATCTTTGGCAGGTCTACGCCGAAGACCAAGCCTATTTCATCCAGGCGAGTGGAGAGCATTTTTAATCGCAGTGCGATGCCTTCCCCGTTGCCGATGTTGACAGAGTCGTACAAACATTGGCATTGCCCCTGCGGCAAGTGGAAGCCCGACCCGCGCCGGTCTGGCCAGCCAAGGTGGACAGAGGTCAAGAAGCACTGGCGCATCTGTCAAAGTGAAGATCCACCCAAGGAACCAGCCGATGTTCAACGGCGTCGTCTGGGCAAGGGCGGGTTTTCGGTTGCCGCCATGAGCGAAGCCAAGAGAGACAAAGCATGGGGACGCTTCCAGCTCTGGAGGGCCGAGCTTACGCCTGCACAGCGTGAGGTTGCCTGTGATCCTGGAGAGGGATCGGCCGGGGGCGCGCAGCACGCCCGCATGATGAGCACACAGTACGTATGCATCAAGTGTGGCAAACAGCCACGTCTTGCCAAGTTCCGCGGCTGCCCCTGCAAGCGGCGCCCAGAGGGGGTCACCCTCCAGATGGGCATGGCCAGACTCGTGGGGGGAGACGTTGCCAAGAAGCGAGTTGCCGACTCCGCCAGGCGGGTGAAGCAGCACTGGAAGAACTCCTCCAAGGACCCAGGCTACTACGCCAAGTACTACGAGCGCTACGGGCGGAAGCAGTGCGAACGCAAGGAACGGCTGCGGCGTGAAGCACTGGGGCCACCGACGGCGTGCAAGCGAGCACCGGTGCGAAGGAAGCCAGCAGCCCACGACGGGCCGAGCCCACTTTGACGGGGTCCGCTCCAGTGCGGAGGGGGCTCCACACAGGGGCCGACACCACCGGGCAAGCGACAGAAGACAGAAGCCCCAAGCAAGCAAGCCACGGTCTCACGACCCTCCGATCCCTCGGCCCAGCCGAGGGGACCACCACCCAAAAAAGCACGAGCCACTACGCCGAATTCAAGGACTGTGTCTGCAGATCCGAATTCAAGTGCTGTATTTGCAGTGGTCAATGAGCATGTACAACAAGTTTCTGATGCAGTTCCTGCGCGCCCTTCGAGTCCCACGCCGAAGGCTAAACGTTCCCGCACCTCGCGGGAATCGGCGGCTGGTTCATCCTTGCCTTTGCCTGCGCCTACCTGTTCAGCTTCGGCCTCAGGTACCGCTACTACTGGTTCACCCTCGACACTGATTTCACTTACCTGCGCAGCTTCGGCCACAGGTACTGCAGCTACGGGTGCACCGACGACGCCACCGACGCCTACTGGCGCCTCGCCTACGCCAACGGCCAGTCCTACGGCAGCGTGTTCGCAGTCAGAACGCACTGGCAAGGGACCCTCGGGGTCCCTCTCTGCCAGTCTCCCTCGAGGTCAGAACGCAAGTCCTGGTCTCGGGTGCTCCTCGAGCTCGGGCCAGGCACCGTTGCCACATGCTGGACATGGGTCAGAACGCACTGGCAAGGGACAATTGTATAGGTCCCTCTCTGCCAAATCAAGAAATTCTGGCGTAAAGAACGCAAGTCCTGGGCGCGACTGGCTTTTGCCGACGTCTGCTTCCCAGGCTCAGTCGCTGCATGCTGGACAGCCACATGCTGGGCAAAGCTCAAGTGCTGACCTTGGGTGCTCCTCGAGCCCAAGCCAGGCGCAGCACAAACGACAGAGGCTGGAAGAGGAACTGGATCCTGGCGACCTCTTTCCGACAGAGGAGCCGAGCTCAGATGCCACTAAGCTTCAAGTATGTACGATCAACGTTGCCAGTATTTCAAAAGCGAGACTCATCACTATCCTGGAGGCGCTACCTGTGTCCACAGCGACAGTTTTTTGTCTTCAGGAGATGCGCCATCTCGAACTACGACCACGATGGATTTTTCAGGCGGCCATGAGATATGGGTGGAGTATTGCTTGCTCAGATCCACCACCAACGCAGGAGCGGGGCACGGTGCGACAGGGAAGCTGCGCTATTCTTGGGCGCCGCTCACTGGGCAAGATCACCGTCATCCGACACAAGGACCTCGGCCACCGCATGGTCGGGATACGCTGTGCTACCGCTACGTTCCTGTCCGTCTACGGCCCAGTGGGAGTGGGCAGAGCTTGGTTTCAGCACGCCTTCGAATATTTCCAATCGTTGGGACAGCTTGGCCACCCAGTCTACATTTTTGGAGATCTCAAGTGGCGCCCTCTTTATTCCGCCCTGACCGCGCGCTGGCATATGAGGGCGGTACGAAGAGGCGCAGGGGCATCCACCACGGCAGCAGGCTCTTGTCCGACGAGAGCCCCGTTGTGGGTGGAAGGAGCTGCACCCGAGCAGACAACGACGCACCTGTTGCCAGGTATTCCGCATCACGCATTGGTGGGATACGTGCTAAGCATCACGCGTGTCAACCCGACACCAACTCGACTCCGACGCGCAGCAATATACGTGCCAGAGCGCAGCCCCAACGACGGAACACAGAGCGACTTCAAGAGCAGCTGGGCCAGGAGGTGGGGCCTCCCCGCTACCTGAACGAAGACGCCGACCCCCCGCTGCTGGAGCGCTGGCAGTACTGGCACATGAGGGCGGAGAAGGCGCTGAGGTTGGCAGTCGAGCATGGGCTGCTATCAGTGCAAAGCGAGGCCGAGAGGGACAAAGGCTCACAGCCAACCTCGCGGCCGACCTCACACTCCCCAGCACGCAGACCCGACGAGACGATCGCACTGCGACGACTCCGACGACTGCACCGACGGCTGGCAGAACACCTGCGCCAAGGAGCTCCAGGATCCACCAGACTGGAGACCAAGCGCTACGCACAGCTCGCTGCCGCAGCATTGGACGGATTGGCCCAAATCAAGGCAGTGGGCACCCCGACTTACTCCGACGCGCTGGACTGGATCTCCCAGGGGATCACCATCGAGCAGTGCCAGATGCAGAAGAGGAATGGCGCACAGCGGCGGCGGCGTTTCGCGAGCCGGAGCAAGGACGCGTGGAAAGCGGCCACCCCGCTCTTCAAGGGAGGCCAACCAGCGCCAGCTCACTCCGCCGCAGACGTGCGCGAGCAGTGGGCCAAGCATTGGAAGCCAGACAACTACGACAACACGGGCTACGTTAACGCATGGAGGCAACACGCCTCGGCAGTGGCTTTCCCGAAGTCGTCATACGCACAGGGCTGGATGCCTACGCTGGATACCTTCATGGCAGCAGTCCGACGAGCCAAAGGATGCCCTGGGCTCGACGGCTGGACAAGTCGCGAGGTCAAGGCCCTGGAGAAGGTCTACCCCACCATCATCGAGGAGTTGTACGACCTGTGGGTCATGACATCACAACAAGCAGTCGAGCTCCGGGGCAGACTACCTCTTGAAGTGCTGCACGCCATATTCCCCTGGCGGGTAGCTGGCATCCCGAAGCACGAGGAAGCTATTCGTCCCATCTCGGTGGGATCCGTGCTGCTGAGAGCGTGGCTACGGGCCCTGGCGACGGCGTCAGCTTCTCCTCCAGACCTGCAGTGGGCCAAACGCAGACATACGTCTGTGGTGCACGCGGTCTCCAAGTGGCTGAAAGATTGCACAGGAGGTCAGTGTGGCGCAGAGAGGGACCTCTCAGCCTGTTTCGATCAGGTGGACCACGACCTGGCCTTGGAAGCGGCTGACCACTCAGCCATGCCGCATGCCGTCATGTACACATGCTACGCTGCGTGGAAGGGCCCGAGGATATGCTTTATCCAGGGCGAGCTTGCACCACCACTGGACCCGTGCGAGGCCTACCTCAGGGTGACAGCACGGCGCCTTGTACACTCATATCGACGTTGGTGCCGTGGGTACCGCCATCGCAGGGACACGCTT